AAAGCAGCTGTGAAACCTCTCTCCTGCTGCCCTTTTGACCTCTGCTGTTGTGTGCCCTCTGCATTGTGCTGGTGGAGGATTGTTCTTGCCAGCCAAGGATCTGGAGGCCACTCCCCGTAGTGTCAGACGTCCCCACTGCATCACACGATGCTCCTCTTGCGACACCAGTCCCTTGCATCCTGCAGGTTCTGGTTGTCCAGCCTGGCCTCTGCTGCCTGCTTGACCCTTGATCTTGAGTCGTGGCCCAGCAGTGCCAGCCTGGGATGGCAGTTCCCGGTGGTGTTCCTCCCTTAACGCCTCGGTGTCCCCTTGTCCCCGCAGGTCTCATCCTGGTGAACGAGCCCTACTACAACGAGGCGGGCTTTGACAGCGACCGGGGGCTGCAGGAGGGCTACGAGAACAGCCGCTGCTACAATGAGATGACGCTGATCCGGGTGGTGCAGTCCATGATGCAGCTGCTGCGCCGGCCCGTCGAGGTCTTTGAGCACGAGATCCGGGAGCACTTCCGCTGCCACGGCTGGCGCCTGGTGTCCCGCATCGAGTCCTGGCTGGAGACCAACGAGCTGGTGGAGCGCAGCCACGAACAGGCCAACGGGGCGTATTCGGCCTCCCCCCTGCCCGCCGGTGCCGCCCTGGCCGAGAGCCCCGGAGACGCTGCGGGGTCGCTGGCCGAGTATGGCAGCAGCTCGGAGCAGGGGGCGGCCGCCGAACTGTCCGACTCGGCGCTCGACGGGAAGGAGGAGCTGGACGAGTTGGAGTTCACGACCCCGACGCCCAACGCCGGTGACCTCCAACAGTACTCAGACTCGGAGAGCACAGGCCAAGCCAGGGGGGACCTGGCCAGAGACCGAACGGACGAGGGGAAGGCTGCCCAGGACTCTGCCGCGCAGCCCAGCGTGAAACCAAAGAAACGGAGAAAGAGCTACCGGAGTTTCCTGCCGGAGAAGAGCGGTTACCCTGACATTGGGTTCCCCCTCTTCCCTTTGTCCAAGGGGTTCATTAAAAGCATCCGCGGTGTCTTGCAGCAGTACCGGGCTGCCTTAGCAGGGGCCAACATCCCAGAGTGGACAGAGGACAAATAAACCATCAGGATAGGGACAGGCAGGTGCAGGGGAGAAGGGAAAGCAGCAGAAAGTAAATTGGCAAATGCCGTTACCAATCAACTGGCTTCTCCTTCCAGCTTTTCTTCCTCAGTTTGGTTTGTTCCAAAGAAGGTGGTAGGCCTGATTGCTCCTCTGAGGAAAGGTTGTCTAAGCATGAATAACTCTTTGCCCCCAGCCCCTTTTCCTTCCCCCTGTCCCATGTACGTGCTCTTCTTGCAAGTTTGACCCTGCAAATGGTAAGATTTGAGACCTGCACAGAAGCAGTCTTGCAGCCACGTTCCCTCTGCACTTTCATCTTGGGGCACCTTTCCACACAAGGACTCTTCCCACCCAGTGCTACACCCAGCAGTTTTTTCTGGTGGGGTTCCAGCCAGGAGAAGGGATTGCTGTAGTTTCTGGAAATGAAGGGCAATGCCCTCCCAGTCTTTCATTTTTCTTGGCATTCCCATGGGTTCTATGAAGTCTACCCCAGCTTATCTGTACTTAGACATTGGATTGTGTTTGCATTGGAGTTGTCTACACCATACAGAGTTGCTCTAGTCTTAGTTGTTCACTGATAGCTACAAGGTTCTTCTGGTTGGGATTGGTAGGCAGGGCCAGAGCTCTGCACTGACTCTCATGCTGCCCTGGTAGTGCTGTGGGGTTTCCATCCAGTTCTGCAACTTCCAGTTGTTCTCCCGAAAGCAAGTCTAGCCATCCCCACTTCTTTTTCTCCAGAGTAAGGCAAACTTCCCTTTTCCCCACCATGCATGCCTGTCTTCTAGAAATTCATGGGATTCAGAGTTCTGCCCTCGTTTCTTGCTTAGGTATCCACATCTTCCGTTCCCAGCGATCCCGGCTGTCACACAGCACTACACCCACCCTGGATCCCCTCCTCACCCGGGCAGGCGGCAGCGAGTGATCCTGGGGCCTGTTGTAGATCTGGCAAGAGTCTGGATGGTCCTGGCATGGCTGCTGCTCCCTCATCCAGCTGCACAGGGGTGTTCTGGAGCTGCTTGAGCCGGGGGTCACCCAAGGGAAGGGGCTGCCATGTCGTGGCAAGGCTCTGTTGCAGCAGCAGCGGTTTGTGGCAGTTCCTGGGCTGTTACATCAGACACTGGTGTGGGCTGTTATCAGTTCCTTCTCTCACCAGCTGTTTCCCATGGTGGGTCAGCTCTGCCTGCAGTGTTGTGGGCGCAGCACCTCCTGTCCCTAATCCCAACCCCAGCAGTGCTGGACGCTCTGGGAAGCAGCTGGTGAGGAGGGCAGGCAGTGCCTCAGCAACCTGAGCCGGGTGACCATGAGCACTTTGAAGCAGTGACTTGCCAGAGTCCCATGGTCAAGACACCTTCCCGAGGCCTCTGGTCCTGTCTGCACACACTTTAACCTTCACTTCTGGAGCTGGGAGATCACACTCCAGCACTACTGCCTTTGCCCAGCGTTCAGGCATTGAGAGGCACCCATTTAGCATCCACGTGGAGCACAGTCTGTCAGGGAGAGTCCGTTGGTCCTTCCAGCTGCACAGGGAGACACCGGTGCCAGGCTTCCCGGGGACCAGTCGGGCTGAGCAGATGGCTCTGCCAGAAGTAAGGATGGAGCCAAAGCTCTCCTTTGCTCTTGCCCAGCATGGCTGTGGTCTCTTCCCCTCCCCCCCAGGCCAAGGTCTGACCTCGGTTAGAAACAAGGAACAGCCGGAGAATGCCGCACGTTGGCGTGGTGCTTTCTGCTCCCTGAAACACCAAGGGCTGCACCCACCAGCCCAAATCCCCCCCACCCAGCTCCCTGCTCGTTCCAGCTGCCCCCCTGATGCTCCAGGGGTGGCTGCACAAAGCCCTTCCCGTGTCCCCATCCACGCTGCCTGGATTGTGGAAGGCTCGCGCTGCTCTTGGTGCTCTGGAGGACACGGGGCTTGACTGTGAGTGCAGACCTGGGCTGAGAGCTCTCCAGGTACTGGTCTGTGGGTGGATCACCTGTGCAGCAGCTCTGGCTCTGCTCTGGCAGCGGGAGCTCTCCGTGCCTGTCAGGTGGGAGGTCTGGCAGACCCCGCTTTGGGGTGCAGAGGTGCTGAGAGCCCTGGGCAGGGCAGTGTGAGCTGCAGCTGCAGCCACGGCCCCGTTCTGCAGTGAATGGATCCCTTTGAGCGGAGCGCGGGGGCGTCTCCAGAGTGTTGGGGCCGAGGGGTGAGGCCACTGCTCCAGGGCAGGCAGAGAGGCTGGTTCCACTAATGATTAAACCTCTTCCAGGCAAAACCACGGTTGGTGATCCACAGACACTACCTCCTCTGTCCCAGTGCTGGGCCGTGGCTGCCCTGTCCGGAGGAGGGAGGGAGAAACCCTCTGGGGGTGGAGGAGCTGTAGGGTTCCACTGTGCCCCCACCTTTACTCTCTGCAGCTCTCATCTCACAGGGCAGGGGCTCGGCAGGCAGCGTGTCCTCCCCTTTGCCCAAAAAGTCTCTGATCCTAGTCAAGAGCTTTTGCACAGGCTGCTGGGGCTCCCTCCGAGGAGGTGTGCGAGGCCTTCTGGAATGGGATGCTGCTCCCCCCCGGCATTGCTCGCTCTCTGCAGCTGTCCCAAACCCAAGCGTGCACAGAGGTTTACAAAATTTTCTAAAGCTTTTGATAATGTGAAGCTCCTGGGTGATGAGGTTGGTGGTGAGCACACTGCAGCTATGTAATTTTTTTTGTGTATGTATGTAATATTTAAGGGTAACAAAATTTAAAAGGCTAAAACCTTAAAAAAAAAAATTTAAAAACACACAAAAAAAGCCAAAGCATGATGCATATTGTTAGCCTTAAAACTGGCTACACGACTGTGTGATGTACAAATGAGAGCAGCCTGTAACTGTTTTAAGTGCTGGGGTTGGGGAAGAAGCATTACAAAATCAGTTTGTAGCCTTGATTCTGTACAGTATTTAATGAATTAAAAAAAAAAACCCAGACCTGACTATTGAGGCCATGCTTAGAGGTGTGTCGTTCACGTGCAGATGTGGATGCTTGGTTGCTTACGATATATGTATAAAGTGCTGTGTGACCATTAAAACTTTTTTTACCTGCAGATTTTTTTTTTGTTTGTTTGTTTGGCTAACCAAGGTGTAATAAAGGAGGGAAGATGACTTGCCATTAAATTTTGCCTCTGTGAGTAGTTATGACTGCTGTCTCTTTCTTTCCCTTCCCCACCCCCTGCACTTCTCTGGCGCATCCCTGTGCCAGGCTCTGGGCTGGAGGGGGGGAATGAATGCTGTGTTTGCCCCTCGTGGGTGCCCTCCCTGCACCCCCTCTGCCTGCAGGAGCAGTGTCTTGGTGTGCTGAGACTCGCGGCTTTGCAGTTGTTCAAACCTCTTGAAGGGCGGGCGGCACCTCTGCCACCTCCCTCGGGCGCCGGGAGCGAGGGGCTGTTCGGGAGGATCGGCTCGCTGCTGCTGTCCAACAGGTTTTGGAAGCAGATGGGTGATGGAAAAGATGTGCGGCAAAACCTGGGAAAGGGGAGGGGGAGGGTGATCCCAGCCGAGCCGCTGCTGTGAGCACACAGCCGTTCCCGGTGGAGACTCCAGGGAGCCTTTCAGGTGCTGTGAGCCTGAACGGCTCCGCTCTGCTGAGCTGTGTCACTCGGCAGAGACAGCCAAGAGCTCCGAGGGTGTCCCCTGCCCTGGGCTCTCCCTCCAGCAGCTCAAGAGGGTTAGGGAGTTACTGCTCAGCCTGTTTTTACACCTGGCCCAATGCCACGGGGGAAATAACTTTATTTTGGGAGGTGGTTCCCAGCTGCCGCCTGCCCTGCTGGCTCAGGGACAGGAACTCGGCTCTCCAGGAGCGAGTGGGGCCAGGGGGGGAGGACAATCGTGCTCTTCTTTCCCGGATCTGCCATCCTAATTGCATAGTTTGCAGATGAATAAATGCAAACAGCCAACACTGTTTACTCTTCTACTTTGTACTTGAGCGCTGTAAATGAGGTTTAATTATTGCAATTTTATACCAAACAGGCTGAGTAATCCCCCCCAGGCGAGCCCCCGGGCAGGGACCTGTCGCAGGGCTCCAGCTGGCCCCGCGCTGCCCGGGACAGGGGATTTGAGAGCCCCCCACGGGGCCCCTGCTCCCGGCAGAGAGCCAAACCCCTCGGCTCCAACGACCCCCCTCCCTGAACCTCTTCTATGAGCCTTTCCCTGCTCTCCCCCGGAGGCACTGCACTTTCCCCAAGATGTCCCCAAGTGTCACTGCAGGGCTGAGCTCCCTGGATTCGATCAGACACAGTGTGAGGCTGAGCCGGGAGGCATCGACACACCCCAAAAATCGGGGTGGGTGGCAGCAATGTCCCACGTCCTGCCTCCTCGGCATCTGCCTTGGGAGCATCCCCTAGTTCCATCGCTCCGTGCTGGTCCTGGCCCCAGGATGCCAGGGAGAGAAGGGCCACGGCTCTGAGCTAAACCCGTCCTGACATCTGCGTGTGAGCCCAGCCCAGGGTGACGGCACCGCAGCCCTGCCCCTGACACCAGCCATGAGCTCGGATTTAAACCCCGAAGGGGGATTTTTTTTTTTTTTTTTTTTTTTTTTTGCAAACGCTAGATATTTATTGCATTTATCACAAGAATAAACTCTGCTTCTACAGGAAGCTTTGGGTAGAAACATTCTTTAAAAAAAAGTCGGTTTCCTGTTATTAGATCTATTGGTCCTGACCATCCCTGGGAGGGGTGGCACTGGCTCCGCGGCGGGCGGGGACACGAGCAATGCCACCGTGTGCGTCCGAGCCGGGGAGGGGACGGGGCTGTGCCGGCGCAGCCGCCTGGGGCCGGGACCTCGTACCAGGATGAAACACGCTGGCGTCTCGCCGGCACCGAGTACCTGATGGGGCTCGTGGCTCAAGTTTGGGACAGCCCTGATGGACGTCCCCGAGGGGGTAAAGCTAAGCGTGGGGGCAAGCGAGGGGACGAGCCCCGCAGCCCCCAAGAACCTATTGCTACGGGAGGAGGAGGAGGTTCCTGAGTGGGAGGAAGGCTCTGCCACCCTCGTGCTGGGCCGTGCCGGCAGCTCAGCGCTGCAGGGAGGGCGAAGCCGGAGCTCAGGAGCCGCTGACGACGCGGCAGAGGCGGCCGTGGATCTGGCCCTGCACGGGCTCACACGCCAGGGCCTCCCCGTCCACCGTCATGATGCCCGCGGCCACCCGTGGCTCCAGGCGGAACGCCCGGACGGGGACGTAGCACAGGTGGGGACAGTTCAAGTCCAGGTGGGTCCCCCTGGACATGGCCAGGAAGAGCTTCAGCAGCGCCACGCGGCTGATGCCGGCCTTCATGTAGAAGAGGTGGATGCAGCCGTCGTGCAGCCGGGCCGCGGGTGCCATCAGCAGGTTGGTGCCCAGGTGGGACTGGTAGATGGCGTAGACCAGGACGAACTCCTCCTCGGGGACCACGGTCCAGTGCGCCGGCACCGGCTGCCCCAGCGGCGCCAGCAGCGAGTCGGCGGGCAGGGACGTGGGCACGCCGGTCCCCGCTGGGGGCAGGACATGGCCAGCCTGGCCGTTGGTGACAGGTGAGGAAGGGTCCCTGGGCACCGGGGCGCTGCCCTGCTCGGGGCCGGCGGGCAGGTAGGACAGGCGGCCGTGGTACACCCGCAGCTTGGCCAGGCACTGCAGGGTGCCCAGGGTGAAGCGGGCGCTGCCCAGCCAGCGGTACTTCTCACTGTCGATGTCCACGTCCGAGATGAAGCCCCAGCCGAAGCCGAGGAAGGAGAAGAAGCGCTTGCCCGAGGCCGTGCTCAGTGAGACCAGGTCCATCTGTGTGTGCAGCCCCTTGCACAGGATGAAGGTGCAATTCGTCAGCAGCTTCTTCTTGGCGACGTGATCGTAGCTGCGAGGGGATGGAGAGGGTGAGTTTGGAGCTCGGGGCCACTCCTGCTGTCCCAGCATCCACCTGGAAACCTTTATTGTCATGGTTGGGACATACCCCAGCTGGGTGAAAGTGTCCCTCAGGGACAGCTGCTGGGAGAGGTTTAGCTGCAATGGGAAGGACAAACCAGTTCCCGAAAGAGGGAACCAAGTCCCGGCAATCCTGATCCCCCCACTCCACAGCAGGATTGGCTGTGCCTGGGGTGGATCCTTTAGCCCAGAGAGGAGAAAGGGAGTGGGGGGAGGTGGGTACACAAGGATGCAATCCCATGCTCATACCTGGGGCTGTTCTATGCTGAACTGTGGGGAGGTGAGGACCCTGACAAGCACCCCTGGGCATCCCAGCACATTTTCCCCTGAGCCAGAGCCCTGCACAACCTTTCTCTTCCCCCACCTGGTGCCAGCACAGCCCAGTGGAGACAGCAGATGCCCCACGGGGCCGGGACTCACCCTGCATAGTAGTTGATGGAGGCAGCCAGGGCGTTCCCGGAGCCTCCTGGCAGGATGCACAGCGGCTTCTTCATGGCATCCTTCCAGTCTGGGCGCTCCATGAGCCCGTTCACCACCTGCAGGGATGAAGGAGTTTGTGGTACCCGAGGATTCCAGCAGCCCCTGCCCAGCCCAGGGGGAAAGGAGCCCATGGTGTCCCAGGCCAGGCTGGTACAAAGGCCATGGCTGCTTTACTCCAAGCTTGGCGCCATCTCTCCTTTGCCATTCCCTGCCTGCCTTCCTCGTACCAGAGACTGGCTCCTGCCCCAGATACCCCCCTTCTCCTGGCCCTCTGCCCAGCCCAGACACCCCACGGTGCCCCTCACCTCATACAGCAGCCCGTCCCCAGACATGACCACCAGCGTGTCCCACTGCGACAGGTCCTCATCCCGCACCTTTTCATGGGCGTGGTGGGGTCTTTCTGCAGGGGAGAGTGGAGAGATTCGAGCATCATCCTCTGTCCCTCTGCACTGCCTGCTGCCACCCCCCAGACAGTGACTCCAGCCCCAGGGAGGTCCCAGCCAGGGGTTCAGGAGGCGAGGCTCTCACCCCTCTTGAGCACAACCAACCCACAGGACCCAGAGCTGTGGTGATGCAGGAGGAACGAGGCCCTCGGAGGAGTCCAGGTAAGATCCCAGGGAAGGGAGGAGGAGGAGGAGGAGGAGGAGGGAGCTGCTGGCAGACTCACCCGTGATGAAGATGGTGGTGGCAATCTCAGCCTCAGCCAGCATGGGCTGCACCACAGCCTGGAAATCGTCCAGGGCACGGCCGGAGCCACTCTGAGGGTTCAGCAGCACCAGAGCACGGCAGGGCCGGGGCAGTACCCCATAGCTGTCACCTGGAGGGGAGAGGGGGCTCAGGGTGCTGGGTCAGGGCACTGCTCAGGCAGTGTTTGCCAAAACCCTGCAGGAAGGGGAGCTGCCCTCCCTGATCCCTATAAGCTCCTCCCTGATCCCTACAAGCTCCCTGGGCGGCATTCCCTACCCAGATGCGATGGGGGGTGAGCAAGGATGGAGGGTCCCTGCTGGGAATGCTGAGGAAGCGGCAGAGATGGGAAATGGGGGCCTTCAGGGCCTCACCTCGAGCTTCCCCACACCCAGGATGGGGCCCCGCAGCACCCCAGCCATGCCACAGCAGGGGAAAGAGGGCTCCAGTTCCCCACATCCCCCCAGATGGAGCGGGGCCAGGGCAGCCAGTTGAGCCGGCAGACGGACGCTTCTGCCTCCCCTGCTCCCCACGGGGCTCAGGTTTCGCGTGCGAGGCCTCAGTCGGGCTGTAATTACAAGCCTGGCAGGGGTTTCATTCTTCTCCCCCCACCCCCACTTGCTTCCAGCGTCACCTTCCCCAAGCCCAGTGGTCCCTGTGCAGGGGGACAGGGAGAGCCCACTCAGCTGCCCTGCGAGGGAAGCACAGAGAGGATGAGGAGGGCAGGACCCCCTGGTGCTGCTGGGGCACCCCAAGCCCTGAAGTGAACAGGGCAGCGTGACTCAGGCTCTGGAAATCCCTGGCTCTGCAGGGTGAAAGCCAGTTCTGGGGAGTTTGGGGATGTCCCCACCAGCTCTGGGCCCCCTAAGCCATGATCTGGCCCCAGGGGGGTGGTGGGTGCTCTGTGGGACAGCACGAGGGCTGCATCTGCTGACTCAGCAGGAAGAGCTGCTGAGTCAGGACAGCAGAGGCATTTCCCAGCACTGTCCTGGGCTGGGAACCCCCTCCCAGGCACTTGAGGGGGATGGGGGTGTCCACCTGCTGGGGTTTTAGAGCTAAAACCCCTCCTGCCACCCACTCTGGGGATGGTGATGGGGAAAGGTGAGCCTGAACGATGGAGGTCACCATGTGTCACCTCCCCTGGGTGTCACCCAGCATCACACCAGTCACGGCCACGAGCTCCATGCGACTAGAGCATCCCAGTGAGTCCACAGGCAAGATCAGCGTGTGAGAGGCCGGTCAGTGGGGCTGAGCCTGGCTCAGGGTGCTGGCTCCGGGCTGGCCCTCCCCGCTGCCACTCCCAGCCCCTTATCAGTGGGTGCCAGACGAGAGGGGAAAGGCTTCCCTCGGGGACAGCACTGAAGCACCCGGAGCAGAGGTCACTCCAACTCGGGTCAGGGATAACAGGCAGTAACCCCAGGGCTGGGCTTGCCCCGCTCCCTCCCCTCTGGAGCTTTCCTGGCCCTCACAGCCACTAAATCCCCTACAATGCGGACGAGCCCCTAGGCAGGGGTGTGGGCTCAAACCCCAGCTGCTGCAGGAAGGTGATGGGGGGTTTTTCTCTTTCTTTCTCTCCCCCCAAGCTTGGAAGATGCAGAATAAGAGCAGGAGGCGCTTCAAGAACATTAAAAGCAGTTTTTAACCCCCCCACTGTTAACCAGGCACATCATTAACCACGCACACGGAGCTGCAGTCGGGTCTTGCCTGAAAATCCTGCCTGGACCTGTGGCTGTTGCCCCGTGGCCACCTCTGCGTGGTATGGCTGGGACCACAAGGACCCAATCCTTGCCTGGAGGGCACAGAGGGAGGCCATGACTCCACCAAAAGGGGCAAACTGCTGGTATCAGGGTGTGAATAGTGACAAGATGTGATCCCAGTGAGGGACCAGTGATACCAGCAGCACCAGGCTCAGCCCCATGGCGGGACTGGAAGGTGCTGGGTCAGAGCTGGAGCCCAGCAGCCGCGATGCTCAGAGGGGACACGGATTTCAGAGCATCCCTTCCCATTGCGCAACTCCGGCCAGTCCCTGGCATCCCAGCAAGGCTGAGCCACTTCCCGGCACACTGCGGTCGCTTTCAGCCTCAAACGCTGAGCAGAGCAGACACTGAGTCAGCAGGAGGAAGGGGTTCTGGCTGCTGCCAGTCCACAAACTCTGCTCCAGTCCCTCTGCCCACATCCCCCCATGCCACACGTGTCCTGGCCGTGCTCAGGCCGGGACCACGCGGCCACAGCCCCACTGTCTGCAGCCCCAGCCACTCCACTGCGTCCCTGCATCCTTCTAGAAACTCTCTGGGCACAAGGAACCAGCATGCCAGGCTGGTATAAGGCTGGGACTGAGCTCCCTGGGGCTGGATTTCCCTGTCAGGACACAAGCCTGGGGACAGTTTCTTCCCTCCCAGATGGCTGCAGTTTGGGGCACATCGCTGCCCTCCGCGGGCAGCCCCAGCTTTGGGGTCATCAACTGCAGAGGGACTTTTTGTTTGTCCCTTGGGGTGAAATAAGAAGGGGGAAGCTTCATCCTCGCTGCAGCATTCCGCAGGGCTCTCATCCCAGAGGATGCTGGAGCTGAGATGACACCAGGACAGGATCACTGGTGGCTCCCAGGTCCCCTCCCAGTGGGGACAGGATTGCTCCGCACAGACTCGCTCGCACGCAGCTTCCCCAGCACGGCCTTATCTGCCCGCACAGGCCTCCCCACCGGCACGTGCGAGCGCAGGGTGTGGGCCAAGGGGCACTTTTAGCCCTGTCCCGAAACTGTGGGAGGAGGTTTGCAAATCCTGCCGGCCCTCAGTGAGAAAAATAACTGCAAAATTCCGCACCGCCTTCTCCCGTCCTCCTTCCTCAGGCTCCCCCGGGGCCCCCGCGCACAACGAGCTGCTCCTGCCCCAGCACCCTCGTGCTGCCTGCTCACAGGGAGAGGGTTGGAAAGCGCTCCGAGACTTCCAGCTGCACAGTTCAGGCTGGAAATAGAGCTGGGGAACTGGTTTTGCCCTCACCCCATTCCACCGGATTTTTGTTTGTTTGTTTGTTATTGTTAAGGAAGAGGAGCAGAAAGTTGTTTTGTAGCTGCAGGTCATGTAAAAAAAAAAGCAGCATTTTAAAATCCAAGCAGGGAAGAGCTGGGCTAAATGTGATTTGACAGGATCCCTCTAACCGCATGCCTCTTAATTTCCAAGTCTGATCAGAGCGACTGGACAGCCAAATAAATGAAGTAGTGCATATAATTGAATCTCTGCTCAGATGTTCAACTATCTGCCAGCGCGCCCTGCCCTGCCTGCGGGAGCTGGGGGACGCGGCCCCCGGGCCGGACCCTCCCCTTCCAGACAGTGGCAATTCCCGCGGGGAGAGGGATCAGAAACCCAGACCCCTCCGGGCTGCCCTGGGACCCCGCTGGGCCCCAGGGGGTCCCGGGGAGCATTTGTCTGTCCCCAAATCCCAAGTGATGGATGGGACCTGCTGGGGACAGGGGACAGTGCCTGGCTCCCGTCCTGCCTGCGTCAGCACTGATTACTTTTTTTTCCTTGGATCATGCTGCCCTTTGGAGCTTTAGAGTTATCGAACGGGAGCGATGGGGGGGGGGGGGGTTGCGTGCAAAGGGCCCCTGTGGTGCGACCACGTCCCTGCTGCCCCTTCAAACTGAGGGTGAAAGGGGGGGAGAAGCCACCCCCGGCGCAGCCCCGAGCCGGGATGTCCCCGTCCCCTCCAAGCTCCGGGGCGCGTGGGGTCCGGGTGACCCCGTGCGTGTCCCCGCCGTGGAACCCGGCACCGCGCAGCGCCCCCGGCTCGGCAACAGCCGTCCCGCGTGGGGCCGGGCGGCGGAGCGACCCCGACCCGACCCCCGCACAGCCCCGACGGGGCGAGCCCCGGGGGCGCGGGGAAGGGGTCCCAGGGGGGGTGGGCTCGGCACTCACCGTCCTGCGCGGGCACGGCGGGCACGGCGAGCTCTCGGATGCGGCGGCTCCAGGCCTGGGCGATGCGCAGGTTGCCCTCGGCGTCGGGCCCCCGGCAGACGCGGAAGGTCCGCTCCAGGCGCTGGCGGGCGGGCGGCCCCCAGCGCGGCCCCCGCAGCGGGTAACACACGAGCGAGAAGCAGGCGGCGGCCGCGGCCGCGGGGAAGGCGGCCGAGCCCACGCAGTCGGCCAGGCGGAGCGCGGCGTCGGGACCGGCCGAGCCGCCCGGGGAGCCGCCGGGGCGCCGCACCTGCAGCTCCCGGGCCGTCAGCGACAGCGAGCAGGCGGCGGCACCGGGGGCCGGCCCCGCGCCGAAGATGCCTTGGAGGAGCACCGGGCCCCCGCCGGGCTCCGGGGGAGCTCGGCGGCCGGCGGCCATCGGCGGAGCGGGCGCGGAGCGGAGCGGGAGGCACCGGGGAGCGCCGCCCGCCGCCGCTCGCTGCTGACGCCCGGCGATGGCAGGCGGGGCGGCCCCATTCATAAAAATTTAACCCACCCACCCCCCCAGCCACCCCTTCCCCCGGCGGGGAGGGGGGCCGTCCCGGGGCTGCTCCGGCACCCCCCGCGCCCCCCCGGCCGCTGCCTCAGTTTCCCCAAGCGCCGCCCCGCGCTCCGGGCAGGGCTGCGGGGGGAACCGGCTCTGCAGACGGGCGGGGGCAAAGCGACGCCGCGGGTTTGCCGCGGGTGGTTCTGCGCTGCCGGGGCGGGTTGTCTGGCGTGGGTGCTCCCGCGGGTGCTGGGGCGGGCGGGGAACCGGCCCACGGTCGCGCCGGGGGAGCAGCGGCAAAGCGGCTCCGGGCAGCCACCCCCAGCCCCGGTTTCTGCACATCACTCCTAGCCAGGCAGAGATGGGTGCTGGCAGAGGTCCCCCGAGCCCCCACGCTGGGCTGAACGCCGTTCAACACCTTTTCTGCATCTCTCCAGCTGGGACTGGGAGAGAGGAGCAGAGCGAGGGCCTGGAGAAATCGAGGCACGGCGAGAGCTGAGGACAGCGGGCAGCCGGCGGAGGACACCTCCAGGAGGGAGAATGGAGTGGAACAATGCCCTGCCTGCCACTGGTGGCTCGCCATCAGGTATCCGTGAGGGTTGGAGGGTGCCACGGGCACGGAGCCTTGTGGAGGGAGGTGGGCTGTGCTGTGAGCCCCACCTCGGGGCACAGAGCGCTGGGGACAGAGCCTAGGGGACCTGCCTGGAGGGTGCCAGCATGGCTGCGAGCTGCTCCATGCCCGCTGGCAGCTGGCAAAAATCACTTACAGCAGCTTTTGCCGGCAACAGGACTGACCTCACCCTCCCAAGGGACTGTAGGGCTCCAGGGGGTCTGGCCCAGCCCAACAAGGATTATTTTTTTGCCAACCAATTCCCTGTGGATGCAGATCTGTCCTAACCTTGAGCTTGCACCTCAGGGGGGCATCGCTGTTCACACTTAGGGCAGTTTAATTAGCAGAGAGCCCTCAGCCCTCTGTCCCTGCTTAAACCCACTGGAACTGGCCAAAATGGCAGGGAGGGCATGGGATGACCAGCTGGGCAGATAATGCTGTTGAGTCTTGTTTTCCCAGAGTGACCTAAGAGGAGAGTCCAGGTGCCATGCTTTGGAGCACTGCACTTTCCAGAAAGACTTCTCTGGGTGCTGTGGGTACAAAGGGCTGCTCAGGGGGGCAGATGGGGCAAAACCTGCTCCCAGCCCTGATGCTTTTGGCTTGGGAACTGCAGCACTCACAGCTGATTCTGGGTGAGATTCAGGCAAGGCCACTTTCCCGGCCTCTGCCAGGACACAGTCCAGCGTTTGTAAACAGTCCTGAGGTTCCTCAGCAAGGTGTCATGGGAGGAAATAGCTGGATGCCTGGGAGTGCAGCGTCCTGACCTGCCCCTCACCCTTCTTGGTGACTAACCCGCTCCCAATTTCCGCTCAGGAAGGCACGAGTCACTTTGGGAGGATGTGGGAGCAGCTGTCACACTGCTCCTGGCAGGTGCCACGGGGCGATGAGGCTGCTTTGGGCTCTGTCCTCACTGCACTACATCCGTCCATGGCCCCGTGCCGCAGGAATCCCCCTTTGCCCCGCCTGCCTGAGCTTGAAATAGGAGTGGAATGCCCATCCAGGCTCTGCTGGCCACAGTCACGCTGTGGGCAAAGGGACTGAGAGCAGCTTCATCATGAGGTGTCGAGGATGGCAAAGGGCGCAAGAAAGGTTCGGGAAGGGCTGCCCATGGCAGGGATGCCAAGGGCAGGGAAACGAGGGGGCTGCAGCCAGGCTTTTCTCAGTGTGGCATGGGACCAGCATAAACTCAGCCTCTGTGATGGCAGGGGACACCCAAGCAGAGCTTATTCATCTTAGTGCTGATCTGTGGGGACTTTAAATGCTGTGCCACTCTTGGCTCCCTGCAGCCACAGGCTGATCCGACCCTGTCCCACATGGACACCATTTGCTTGCCTTCGGGTGTGCTGCCTAACACGGCAGTGGGATCGCCTCCTTCCCCGCTTAGTGCTGAAAACCAGTTTGGGGCTGTGGTAATTACAGGAGCCCTAACGAGCTCCCTCGACCCCCCCAGGTCAGCCCGAGGGGTGCTCTGCAGCCGGGGTTCCCGCGCCGTGGGCAGGCGTCTGCCGGTCGGGTTTGTCCTGATCGGCTCCATTCCCGTGCCGTGACTCAGGCCGTGTCGTGGGCGGGAGCGCCGGGATGCGCCGTGGGGATGCAGCAGGAGCTGGAGCCGGCAGGGACAGCCGGTGGAGGATCCCCCCTACCTCCTTCCTCATCGCCCACAGAGCAGCGTGCCCCAGGCCAGCTGAAATCACTGGGAGGGCCTGTGGGGTATCCCAGACCCCACAGACACCATCTGGGAGAGGAGGCTTGTGTATCTGAAGCACCGTGCCTGTGGCTTCCTGGAGAAGGTGGTGGACGCTCTGAGTCTGGGGAAACTGAGGCAGAAGCAGCAGACAAGGTTTGTCTTGAGCTGTGCAAGAAGCCAAGGGTTAAATATGGCAATTAACCCTCTCCAGGCTCCTCCTGCTCTGGGCCCCAGCTGCTGGAGGAGCTAGACCCCACAGGGAGCTTATGCTGGGAGAAGAAAGCACAGAGGCTGGGGACTTTCCAGCCCTGCCTTAACCCTTCATGCCCCCAGCTGATGGATCCCAGGAGCTGCAGCACGGACCTGGAGCGCTCTGTGCCAGGGCAGGCCTGGATTTTGGGATCCCACTGCCATCATCGCAGCCCCGGAGGAGTTGTGCAGAGGAGTTGTGCAGAGGAGTTGTGCAGAGGACGTGTCACTGCTGCAAGATGAGCTGCAGCGTTTCCCTTCGAGACACGCAGCTCCTCCAGATCCCTGCCCGCTCTGCCACATCCGCCGGCAGCCGCCCGGGGACGGGAGGGGGATGCACTCATCCCGGATCCATCTCTTTTAGCTCCGTTCCCACTGCTGAAGGTACATGTCTCAAGGTGGAGCCAGAAATAGCGCGGCTCGGCGCTGCATCGCGGCTGGCAGGGCTGCAGGCTTGGCAGGGGGACAGGCACCGACTGCAGCAGTGGGAACTTTCCAGGCAGCGCCTGCGGGAGCGGCCGGTGCGGGGCCGGAGCCGCTTCTGTGCAGGGCCAGCCCAGGGACTGCAGCTCAGCCTCTCGGCCCTGGGGTTGGTGCTGGCAACACAGGAGACCAGCACAGAGCAGGAGGGGACAGAACTAACAGAGGTATCTCCTGCAGGAGTGACTGGGATCACATCCCACCTGAGCTGGGACACAGTTCTGGGCTCTGCCACTGGTTCGCTGCAGAACTCGGGCAAGTGGCTGCACCCTGTCCCTGCTGCCGTGACCCAGGAGCAGCAGGTATCCCCCACAATCCAGCTTCACTCAGGGCCCAAGGCTTGAGCCTGGAGGACTCCCAGCCTCCAAGGAGCTGGGGGTTTTCTGGCAGCTCCTAAATCTCAGCGAGGCTCTGCAACCCTGCTAGGGGGCTGCTCCCCAGCCCTGACCCTCTGCCAAGCTCTCGACAGCTGCCGGCACAGCCCGGGACCGCAGGGCTCACCGGGAAGCCTGAACAATGCCGACCAGCTGAGATCATTCCTCCCAGCTGATTATTTGCTCAAAAATATTTCTGAGCTCAGGCCTCCTCAGGGAAAACACTCCCAAAACAGCCGGCAAAAAGCTGCTGAGTCTGGAGGAACCTCCTCGCTCGCTTGGCCGAGACACCCCCCCTGCGATGACAAGCCCTGGCGTCAGAGGGATTGAGGCCAAAGTCTGCTGTTTGATCTCCCCCTCGGCTGGGGGAAGACGAATTTCAGGCCCTCGCAGGGCTCTCACCACTTCCCTGTAGCGGTTTCCTGCCATGATGGGAGTGCAGGAATTTTTGGGAGGTGAGTCAGAGGCTGCAATGAGAACCACCTGGCTGGGGCTGGCCTGGGAGGCTTGATCCCCATCCAGGGGTGATCCTGCTGCGAGCTCGATGCCTGCAGGCAGCATTCCCAGCGTGGAATTACTTACGAGGGGCACAGCATCCCACCACGGCTCCCAATTTCTGGCCTGGGAAAGAAGGAGAGGGATTTGCTGCCTCAGTTCCCATGGCTCCTCTTTCCTTGCCAGGCACGCTCCGGCCACCCCACCCTGGCTCCAGGGAGAAACTTGGTGAAGAATAAAGAGCAAAACCTCATCCGGCTCTGCAGGAAACTGCCTGCAATGGCTGTCCCACCCCACGGAACTGCCCCCGAGCAGCGCCGAGGCCTGGTTTTCCCCGGGGAGCAATGCAGGACTTGGCAGAGCTGAGGAACTGCCCTCCCTGGTCGCTGAAATTCAACTTATAAAGCGAGTTCCTGGTAAAGGAACCTCCCAGGTTTTCTCTGCTGGGCTGTTAAAGCTCCATAACCCCCTGCCCACTCTCCCCCTCCAGCATTGCTCAAACCCCTCTGTGCAGAGAATAACTGCGTGGTGTCCAGAGAGTGAGACTGAGCCGGGATAAGCCTTTGGAAAGGAGCTAAACCTGCTCAAAGCCGGCGCTGTTCCCTGACCCGCCCTCCTAATCCTGCCCAGCTCATAATGGAATAATAAAGGGCTGCACAGCCTCGCTCTCCGCCGCGCTGTGGGGGAGGTTCCTGCTGCCTCTGTACATGCCAGGAGCTGGGATATTAATTACTCCCTAAGTAAACAGAATTGCTCCTTTCTTCTCCTTTGCCTGGCTGTAAAACCGAGCGTGACCTTCAGCCCGCAGAGAAATCAGAGTCGTTCCCTTTTCCAGGAGAAAGGCTGGCTGTGGCAGTGATAACAGCGTGATCTCTGCCTGCCACCTCTTCCCTGGGCTCCTCAGGGGCTGATCCCAACCCTGCACCTCCAACAGCCATCCTGGTGGGACCCCCAGGCTGCTGGGCCTTCCCATTCTCGCAGGGATGAAAGCTGCTGA